TGTCACTAACTCTGCTTCTGTGAACACTACAGTATGTGACTCTGAAAAAGGTGTGTTGGAAAACCCTTTTAGTTTTACCCCTTTTACTGTTGATGTTGTTCGTGAAGCTTTAACCAAGTTAGATCCTAAGAAACCGGCCGGCCCGGACAACGTAGAACCTTTCTTTTTAAAGATAGCTGCAGATTTTATTGCTCCACCTCTCACTACTCTTTTTAACCTCTCCCTCAGCACTAACACAATTCAAAAATTGTGGAAGTCAGCGTATGTCCTGCCTTTGCTAAAAGGAGGGGAGGCCACCTTATTAAATAACTACAGGCCAATCTCTAAGTTGTCAGTTCTGGAGAAGGTTCTTGAACGCTTAGTGAGTGAACAGGTAAAGGAGTTTTTATGTACAAATGACATCCTGTCTAAACATCAGTCAGGCTTCAGAAAGCCACACAGCACCATCACTGCCACAATGAAAGTGGTGAATGATGTGGCGAGTACTTTAGACAATAAGCAGAGTTGTGCAGCTCTATTTATTGATCTTTCAAAAGCGTTTGACACCGTCGATCATCGCATCTTAAAGCAGAGGCTACTCAGTATAGGCATATCCAGCCATGCAGTGGGTGGTTTGTAAACTACCTCTCTGAAAGGTCCCAATGTGTTCACTTTGATGGGCTGTCTTCTGAGTGGTTAAACATTGCTAATGGTGTTCCTCAAGGTTCTGTTTCAGGTCCACTTTTATTCTCCATCTACATCAATAGTTTAGGTGAAAATGTGGATGAAGCTACTTTACATTTTTATGCGGATGATACCGTGATGTACTGTGCAGGTCCCTCCATTCAGGAGGCTGGTGTTAAATTACAGGCTGTTTTTAACATTATTCAGACTCAGCTCTCTGAACTAAAGCTTCTTTTAAATGTTGAGAAAACAAAGGTAATGCTCTTTTCTAAAGCTAAAAAGACACCAGAGCCTGTTTTAGATATTGTAACTACGCAAGGAACAAAACTTGAAGTGGTTACCTGTTATAAATACCTTGGTATCTGGCTTGATGATTGTCTCACTTTTAAACTTCATGTCAATAACCTGCTTAAAAAGCTGAGGGTTAGGCTAGGTTTCTTCTACAGGAACAAGTCCTGTTTCTCTCTTGAGGCCAGGAAAAGGCTCTGTGACCTTTGACCTGTGCTGGACTCCGGTGATCTGATGTATATGAATGCACCTGCCAATTGCCTGGTCAAGTTAGATGCTGCCTATCACAGTGCACTGAGATTTGTGACAAACTGTAAAGCATTAACCCATCACTGCACCCTGTATGCAAGGGCTGGTTTGCTTTCACTAACTGTATGGAGGCTCAGTCACTGGTACATCTTTATATACAAAGCCATGTTAGGGAAACTTCCATCTTATATTTGCTCCCTGATCTCACGGAAAATTGTAAGTGGCTACTGCCTGAGATCGCATGCTGTGGTTTTATTAAATGTGCCAACTGCTAGGACTGTCTTAGGGAAGACAGCTTTTAGATGCGCAGCTCCTCTGTCTTGGAATAGTCTGCTAAATTAAATGGTACCTGTTTATGTGGATAATTATGTAAATGATGCTGTATGATGTCCTTTTGTTGTTCGATTTATGTTTTTATGTTTCATGTGGAACTACTTGAGCAGGGGGGTATACTACGAAGCAGGATGTTCGCTTAGCCGGCTAAATTCAGGGGAAACTCCGGCTTTCCGGTCCTACGAAGCTGGTTCTCTTTTTAGCAGGCTAGATCTCCATGGTAACTTATGCTTAGCGGCTAACCTGGTCGGGACCAGGTTAGGTTGCAGGCTAAGAGCTCAACTCAGTGAAAGCACTGCCTGCTGACCAATCAGAGCTCAGTGTGCGGAGTTTAAAGCGATCAAGTCATATTACAGGAGAAAGGAAAAACAGAAAAACTGCCATTGCAGGAAAGACGGCCAGCAAAAATCACCGACTGTGTGAACGTGAAAATGAATAGAATATCACCTCCATCTTCAGAGCAATCTGACTATTATAACATTAGCGTTAAGAAAGCTTACTTAAATATCTGCCACAACATAAGTACACTGAGTGCAGACGATGTGTCCCATTATCATTCATATCACATCATATCACATCATAATGTATCATATATTTCCTTATCTGAGTCAGCTGAGCCGTATCTGGCCGTGCAACACTCACAGTGTCACAGACTGGATGCAGAAGTATTATTTTAAGCAACACATTAAGTTGAGGAAACACTCGAGTCAAATGTAATTAAAGTCAAATCGTGTTTTAGACGGGCAGTGATATCATAAACCTGTTAATGTACGCATTCAAACACTTGTTCTGTTCCCAGCTGTATTCACCTTGCAGGTGCAGCTCTGTGGCTTTGATCCTGGATCAAGTGTTTAAGACATGGATGTTTAAAGTTTAACTTCTTCATATTTGACTAGTATTAAAGTTCACTTTTCATTCAGGAAGTATGACGCTGCGCTGTCAGTGCGCTTCTCCATGTCTGTGATTGGTCGAATGCTCCAAATACCACCCCTTTCATGTGAACACGCACCTAACTAGATAGGACACGGCTAGTTTGAGCGATCCACTTGATAACCAGCGTCGTAGTACAGTTTAGCGAGAGCGCGTATGTTTTGGATTAGGCCAACCGGCTAACTCAAACATATCCAGGTTAGGTTGAACCAACTTCGTAGTATAGGCCCCAGGTCTCCCTTGAAAAAGAGATCAATGATCTCAATGGGATTTATCTGTATAAATAAAGGTTTGAAATTAAATGAAGCTAATTGGTTCTCAACAGGGTTCATCTCATGAGGCTTCATTTGAACACAAACCCCCTATTGGTCAAAGAGTGTAAAACAGGCAGATATGAAATCTCAACAGTGTGATCTTTCTCATACCGAGTTCCCAATGACTAAAGCCTTAGAATAACTCTAAACAATGAACATGAAATCATATTTTCATGTAATCAATATCGTATATATTCCAGTTTAATGATCGTGATTGAGAAGCCTAAGGAGGCTGGCTGGTACACAAACAAAGAGGGATTTTTATTTCTCGTATAAATTGATTAACTTAATAAATGTATAGGGACCTGCTCCATCGAAATCAGTCTCATTGACTGACTCACCCGAAGACACATTTTGAGTTGTATACACTGTTGGAAAGAGGAAATTCCTAGTTTTCTAATGATATCTGGATTGTTGTTGTACTCCAAATATTAAGCAAAATATGTCACATTATATAATGACTGTCACCGAGTCATCGCATATCACAAAGGCATTTAAAAAGATAAGACAATACATCACTGACAACAACATAGACACAGATTAAAACAAACAGGCGTAAGAAAACCAGATATCTGCAGACATGACAAGGGGCCTATAGGCCCTCATTTGCGAAATAGGGGGGACAGGGCAGGACCAGCTGGGTAAACAGTGCGTCGTAGCCATCAGGAGTTTGATGGCTTGTGGGACGAAAGACAGCCGAGATCTGTTCTCATGAATCTTCTCTGAAATCCATCGATCTGATTGATTAGCGGAACAAATGATCAAAATACTACGGAGGGAAGATATTTTCGTTTGGATTACTGGTCTGGGGGAAGCTCGCGAGTGTGTGTGCATGTGTGTTTGTGTAATTTTGCGTTTGTGTGTATTGTGTTTGTTTCCCGGGGAAAACACTCATGAGAAACACCGGCTGTTGTTATGCCTGCAGTGACCTTAAGTTACTCCGTTCTCCGCTTGTAATTATGCCGTTACAAGCTTCAAAGTTGTATTTATCATCTGAATTTGCCGAAACAAGTTTAATGTAACGGACCCTGCCGTGTTATCTATGATTACTATACGCCTTACATTCATAATGTCAGCCGGAGGGAAGGGACGGCGTGTGGAACAGCAGGGTGGCGAGTGAGAGCTGCCATCTTCCCTTTACAAGCATCAAAAATGTATTTATTTTGTGATTTTGGAAATAAAAGTTTCATATTCTGAAAGCCAAGACTTTGTTTATTTAAAATCAAACAAAACACCCGAACCTCCAAAAACTATTTTTCTTACGCAAATCCACGTTTATTTAGAAACGAGCCGTTGCGACTTCCGACTGATTTCGATAGAGCGGGCCAAATATTTCCAGCCGTACATTTCACAAATAGCTCCAAATATCATTTGTTTCTCTCCCACTCTATTCCTGGAGGGTCATCAATTGTTTCTAAACAACAGAGCACCTGTTATCTCAAAGATTTACAATACTTATTCTACGTTACATTGCAAAAAGGTAACTTTTCATAAAGTTTACACCTTGTTCAAGCTTTAAAAGCAGAATGTTCTTCACACGTCAAACTAGCCAAAGATTGAAGTGCTATTTACATGCAGGAATAAGACGGTTTTAATGTCTTAGTGTTACAAAAACATGGCCGACAGATGCTTCATGACTCTGCGGGTGGTGTTTCTCAATTTTGAGGACGCTTGCTTGGCAGCACATGTCGTCCGAATCACTTGCTTCAGAAGCGTGGCAAGAATCCTTCCTAGCCTCGGAAAACGAAGAATGGTGGAACAGGCTAACAGGTGTGCGTCATATGCGAGGCCCCGCCTTAAATGGAGCGTGATTTCCGCCAAAGATTTGGAAATTAGTCCGTGCGCAAAGCATTGTGGGGATTTTAAGACTGCGGAGTATACACAGGTGCAGCCTTGAAATGTATCGATACGAAGTACGCCGGCCTCGGTAGAATTCCAAGTCTGCTGGAAATTGGAACAGACCTTCGGCGGCACTCGATGAAGCAGTATGCTTGAAATAGTGGCTCTGGAGCAGCCTTCCTCGACATTGAGAAACACCCTCGGTGTGTCAGGCATTAGAGTCTCTTCTTACCCATACTCCTCTCTGTTTTTCTCTTTCAATAACTCTGAACAATTTGTATTGATGATCAGCAGGAATAATCCTAACATTCGATCTTAACTCTGAACTCTAAATGAGCTGATTGTAATCTGCTGCTAAACACAAACAATATGCAGGAATGCGAGTCTGTTTCAAAGGCCTTTTTCTTTTAGTTTGGTTTGATGATATAAACAGAATCAAACTGAAAACATCGTACACATTCTCTATATCAATAAGTCATTGGTTCTTCTTTTAGACCAGAACAGACTGATAACTCAACAGGAACTATCAACAACATCCCAATGGAAGTTTAAAGTCACAACATTTCATTAAACAAACAGATTATTAGAGAAACTACTGCAGATTAATCAGTCAGTGGTTATAGTACACATCAGAAAAGTAGTATGACAACAACATTAAACATATTCAAAACTTCTGTTGATAAAGATGGAGTTTAGATGAAGTCATGTTTGAACATTGTCAAACAGAGTTTATACAGACAGACAGATTTTTCTCATGTGAATTGTCGAAGGAATAATTAATTGTCCTCTTTTTTTATTGCAGATTTGACTTGGAAAATGTCAGGTTCAGAAGAGCCTCCAGGGTTGTCCTCGGTCTCTGGTTGTAAATGTCTCTCTGGATCTGAGTTCCTGGCTGGTTCTGGTCCTCCACAGTCCTCTCCATCAGCTTCTGTTTCCATGTGTTCAGCTGAGCTGCTGGCTGGAGGCTCTGCCTCTCTGTCCTCCTCAGTTTGAGTTTGATGGAGCTGTGAGGACTGACGACCAACACACTTATGGCTTTTGACCTGACGACTCCAAGTGAATATTTTGTCACAAAAACCGCAGCTAAATGGTTTCTCTCCAGTGTGGATTCTCATGTGGCATTTTAAATCTCCTCTCTGTGTAAAAGATTTCTCACAAACTGAGCAGCTGAATGGTTTCTCTCCAGTATGGATTCTCATGTGTCTCTGTAAATCTCTTCTCTCTGCAAAAGATTTCTCACAGACTGAGCAGCTGAACGGTTTCTCTCCTGTGTGGATTCTCATGTGCTCCTTTAAATGTCCTCTCTGTGTAAAATATTTCTCACAGACTGAGCAGCTGAACGGTTTCTCTCCTGTGTGGATTCTAATGTGGTCCTTTAAACTTCCTCTCACTGCAAAAGATTTGTTACAGACTGAGCAGCTGAATGGTTTGTCTCCTGTGTGGATTCTCATGTGAATTGGTAAGTGATGTCTCGAAGCAAAAGATTTCTTACAAACTAAGCAGGTAAATGGTTTCTCTCCGGTATGAATTATGATATGTCTATTCAGACTTGACTTGCGGCCAAATTTTTTCGCACACTGAGAGCATCTAAAGTGTTTCTTTCCAGTCCTACGTCTTGAATCACTGACAGGGTCTGGTTTATTTTTCTGAGAGTTTGAACCTGGTTCTCTGGTCTCCTTCCAATCAGCACTGTCTTCAGTCTCAGGTTCAGAAGAGCCTCCAGAGTTGTCCTCAGTCTCTGGTTGTAAATGTCTCTCTGGATCTGAGCTCCTGGCTGGTTCTGGTCCTCCACAGTCCTCTCCATCAGCTTCTGTTTCCATGTGTTCAGTTTGTCTTTGATGAAGCTGAGAGGACTGAGGTTTCTCTTCATCATCTTCACTCTTCACAGGGACAGGAGTGAATGTGAACTTGATGATATCAGCCTCCTCCAGCCCTTGAAGCTGCTCTCCCTCCCGACTGCTCCAGAGTTCCTCCCGTTCCTCTTTAATGTGTGGGGGGGGCTCTGGGTCCTCCTGGTCCAGACTGGAGCTCCACTCCTGCTGCTCAGGGGGAACCTCTTCTTTAACCACCACCAGCTGCTGGACGTCTGCAGGAAACAGGAAACACATATTCAGAGAAACTGTAGAGTATTAGAATTTAAAATCTAACCACGAAGTTCCGCCCACTGTGTATTTCTGTTGGCTCAATAGTCTGTCAATTACACCTTTTTTCCAGATACCCTGAGAGTTTCAGGACAACAGGTGAGTTAGTACGGTAGCTGGTCTAAAATGTAGTTTCACTGCCGGTTAGCAAGGCGTCGGTTGTTGACAGAGTGTGAGGCCTTAGCCTTACAGTTTGTGACCTGTCTGCAGAGTCGTTATCTGAGAACTGATGTTGGAGTTTCTCAGAGTAGTTGTTTAGCATCTCTCACCGCCTCGCTAAACCTGTACTTGGACTCATACAGGTGCATCTCAATGAATTGAATATCATGGAATAGTGATTTCATGTCAGTAATTCAATTTATAAAGTTTAAACGTATACATTACAAAGATTCATCACATACAAAAGGGATTATTTCCAGTGTTTTAACCTTGATGATTGCAGTTTACAGATAATGAAAAGACAAAACAAAGCATTGAATATTACATAAGACTAGGGTTGGGAACCAAAACTCGGTTCCAGATGAGAACGATAAGAAAATGCTGGGTACCGAGTACCCATAAAAAGTACACAATTTCGGTGCTGCTTTACGGTTCCTAAACGCGGTAGACCCTGTATTCCACCGGGTCCGTCTGCGCCTCGGCGACCCGGTGGAATACAGGGTAACCAGGGGCGGACTGGCCATCTGTGTGTTCTGGAGAATCACAGAATGGCCAGTCGTCAGCGGGCCGCTGGCGGCCGGCACCGCCCTTAACTTTTTTAAACGGCATCATGTAAGTTGCGCTGACAGGCGACAGAGGTCCACTGTTGCCCTGCAGCGAGGCTCCCCACGCCCTCCCGTAGACAGTTCACGAGCTCGGCCACATCATAACACCAAAGATGGTTCGCGGTAAACGCTCTAAAGTGTGGCTCCACTACACTAAAAAAGAAAAAGACAAGGCGCAATTATTACTTGCCACAGTGCAATGCCTGTGGAAAGTTAATAGCTTGCCACAGGCATAGCTCAGTTAAAATAAAGCAGAGCTATTGTGCAATACATCTGAATTGCATACATTTTTTTTTATTTGTAAAAATGTCAGTTAAAGCTTAACCCTTAGATGCACGAGTGACTGGACACTACAGTCTTCCATAAGTGGGGCTAAAAGGACCCGTATTAGAATAATATGTGTTTTTATGCCATGTTTGTCATTTTGGTTAAGAAAAATCACTTATATAATATTTAGTATTATATTTTGGTTCACATTAGAAATATTTAATATTTAACTTTTCACAATTTATAATTTTAGACATTTTTTTTACATTTTGAAAAAAAAACGTTTTGAACACAGTTTTCCAAAGATCTCCGCTATTCTGAGACCCTCACAGTATTCCAGTCCCTTTTCAAAACTCCTCTCTTCTCCTCTTGTCTACTCAAAGCCCACCCCCCATCAGTCCATGCCGGTTGATCAAGTTTGATAGTCCTATACCCCCCACCCTAACCTTCCCTTATATTGTAAAGCGATTTTGAGTCCTTGAAAAGCCCTATAAAATATAATGTATTATTATTATTATACTGACAGGTATCAGATCTTGCTGTGTAAAATAATCTTCCTGAGAGGTGTCACTTGATGTCGTCTGTTTGGTCCTACAGTGAATGTATTCCTGACAGCAACAGGTGATAAGAATCAAAGGTTACCAAAGGATTCCATAGAAAATGCATGCGAGTCATTGTTGACCCGCTTATGGAAGCTTGGGGTAGAAATACAAAAACTACAATTTCTTAAAATTTAAATTTAAAATGTGAATGGCATGATATCCAAAACATGTTTTTGAGGAATAGCTGGAATATGAAATGATAAAAAAAATGTAATTACAAAAATACTTCAAGAAAACCACCTCAGTTGGTCCAAAAAGACCCACTTATGCATCTAAGGGTTAAAAGAATAAAGATATTTTTGTCCATCTACACGTTTGACCTCTTTCTTTTACAACTTTGGAATCAAAACGGGGAATCGATGAGAACCGGAATCGATACATTTCAGAAGATACCCAGTGTTTCCCCTCGGTTTACTGCCTTGGCAGGGTGCTGCTCGGGTAACCCCCAAAACAAAACATTTTTTTTTTGTAATCCTCTGGAGCAGAGAGGAGCTGTGGATTATTGTTATTGTTATCTTACAGTAACAAAGTATTTGTAAATTAAAAAGTAGTAAAGTACAGTGTTACACTGTACTGTATTACTTTTATTCAAACTGTATGTAGCCTACACTTCTTCCTTTCATTGATACATTTAAATCACCTGACTGACTACAGCATATAACATACCTGCTGCAACCCTGTGCTGCTTCTCTCTGCCTCATCCTCTACTGCTGGAGGCAGCTCCACCTCATCTGATCTCTGATATGAAAGCAATGTGTTATGATCATATTGAGCTATTGGTGTGAGTCTAACACTAAACAAGCAGTCTGCTTGTCATACATTGCTGACGATACATTTTAAGAGGCAATTTGTTGAGTCATTGCCGCTAAATGACGGTAGCATCAAGCTAGCAAGTCCTGCATTAGCCTCACATCAACAGGTGTAGACAGAACATCCAATTATCCTGAGCTAATTGACTGAATAAACCAACTCACATCTCCTGTCTTTTTTTTCACCCAACTCATTAGACTATCCTTCTGTGAGCTATTTTTAGAATGTGCACGCTACGTTCGATGTCGCGTTCGTGTGCGTCCACCTGGGTAGGCTGTGTGTGTCCTTCTCCGTCACGATAACGGCTTGAGGTTATAAAATAATAATAATAAACGAATTTGAAACGGGGGGGGGGGGGGGGGCACAAACGGGCAGACGGCAGAGCTCGGGGCAATAATGCAGATTTGTTTGACTTTTTTACACTTTGTTGTTCTCCTCCTTTCCTCCACTCTGGTCTCTGATTGTGAGTGTGTGCATTTGTGTGTGTGTGTGTGTGTGTGAGTGTGTGTGTGCATTCGTGTGTGTGTGTGGGGGGGGGGGGGGAGCGGAGCCCCGCCCTTCAGAAACAGAGCGGAGGGAGAATGTGAATACGCAAAGCAGTGGACACTGAAACATGCATACATTGGATAAATAAAATTTATCTTTTAGTTTATTTAATAAAAGAGCACATGTTCAATGTGAAAAGTGACCGTAAATAGTTGTGTAAATACTTCAGGTGCTATATATATATATATATATATATATTTTTTTTTTTTTTTTAATTAAATAAAAAACACCTTGAATTTCAGGCGGGGCGCGGGGCTCCGCCAAGACAATGGTAGGGGAAACACTGATACCCATCCCTACATAAGACCAATAACTAAGACCAATGATCTAAACATTCTGACTTTCTTCTCAAAATCCTGACCTTTTCTGGAAATCTCATGATTACTTTTTTCTCCAAATTCTGACTTTTTCAGAATATCTCTAAATGCTGGCCTTTCCAGAAAACCTCAGAATGTTCTTGAAATCAAAACATTCTGACTTTTTTTCTCAAAATTCTGACTTTTTCCCAAATTGCTGACTTCTTCTAAAATGATGAAGTTTTCAGAAAATCTCTAAATCCTGGCCTTTTCAGAAAACCTCAGAATATTGACTATTTCATTAAAAAAAAAAGTTCACTTTTTTTCTCAAGATCCTGTTTTTTTCAGGAAAGTCCCAAATGTCAGATTTTGATCTGTAACTCTAAATTCTGACTTTTTTCCACAATTCAGACTTTTAAAAAAAAAAGCGGAATTTTGCAGAAAATCTCTAAATTCTGGCCTTTTCAGAAAACCTAAAAAACAAACTACCAGTTCATAGTGAATTCCACTGCACTCACAACATCCCAGACAAGGTAGCGAGATCGCGGGGATCTGGACTAAAAAGAACAACCTTCATTTCTCAAGAACGGGGAGTAAGACAAGGATGCTGTTTATCACCGGTCCTGTTCAACATCTACATTATGGAACTGGCCACTATCTTAGAACAGTCTACCTGGGCTCACTCTTCACAGGGATCAGATTCCTGCTGTATGCAGATGGTCTCATCCTGTTAAGCCCGACAAAAGAAGGACTTCAACAGAGTGTAAACATACTCGAAGGTTACTGTCAGACCTGGGCCATGGCAATCAACATAAAAAAGACGAGAGGAGAGAGAGAGAGACAGAGACAGAGACAGAGACAGAGACAGAGAGAGAGAGAGAGAGAGAGAGAGAGAATGTGGACACAGACAGAGAGAGAAAGACAGAGACAGAGACAGAGACAGAGAGAGAGAGAGAGAGAGAGAGAGAGAGAGAGAATGTGGACAGTCAGACAGTGGAAACAAATTCACCATGGCCTTGAACTCACCTGATCTGATGAATGACATGTCACTATTTGTCCAAAATCAACATGTTCTTACCAAAGATGGTGTAAACATGGCCATTGATTATATCAATATGATATTTCACAAGGCAGCTATTAAAGCTGACCTTATCAAACTAAAGCAGAAGCCTGTTAAAAGGCAAAACGCTGACAAATGGTTTGACCAGGAATGCAAGACCATCAGAAAAGACCTGAGAAAAATAGCAAATAAAAAACATCGGCAACCAAACAACCCAGCCTTACGCATTAGATACAATGACGTTTTAAACAAATATAAATGTACAATAAGGAACAAAAAACCAAATGATACCCACATGAAACTTGAGGATATTGAGAAAGCCATTGATCAAAATCAATTCTGGGATCTGTGGAACAACTTCAACACAAAACAACCACAAGCATTACCCATCCAAAACGGTGACATCTGGAGAGAACATCTAGAAAGTTTGTACAAAGACATACCAATAAATCTAATGAACTCAGATCAATGTATTACAAAAGAGAAACTCCAAACATTAGAAGAAACTATTAAAGACAACCAAAAGCCCCTTGATTTCCCAATGACTTGGGAAGAGTTGACCACACAGACACAATCTCTCCGGCCAAGGAAAGCTTGAGG